GATTCCACGTATTCTGAGGCAAACCATATGATCGAAGAAACCTCCATGGTGCCATCCTGTCCACACCATCAAGTTCGTTATCATATTCAAGAAGGTTTACGTGCAGTGGTGAATTCCATTCAACTGGCTGTTCCACAGTGATCCGTAATGTTGCGATTTGGTCGATACATGATCGATCCTCACGGAATCCAACCTGCTAATCTTGAAGTTGGGTTACCACATAATCTTTCATTTGGTTCAAAAATACTCTGTTGGAGAATATTTTTCGTGTTGAGATTAGAGTGGTTTCAGACTGGGCTCGTTTCAGACCTGGACGTGGCTGTATAGACCACATTTTCACAATACGACAGATCCTGTCACACATATACACATTTCGGCATCCGACAATAGTCATCTTCCTGAACCTTAAAGCGGCATTTGACTCTGTGCATCGAGAGGTTCTGTGGCAGTGCGTCTCATTAAAAGGTGTACCAATGAAGCACACTAACCTTATACAAGCTCTCTACTCGTACACCACTGGTCGAGTGAGAGCTTATGGAATTATTTACTTCAAGTGGTATCCGTCAGGGATGTCTACTCTACCCATTCTTGTTCAATTTTGTCATAGACATACTGCTAGATATAACATTATCTTCGTCTGAATTTTCAGTAGACCTTTTACCAGGAGGCTCGCTGGTCGACTTAGAATATACCGATGATATAGTCCTACTTGGTGAAGATGCTGACAAGATGCAGAGTCTTCTGACTACCCTAAGCAACAATGCAAGCATGTTCGGTATGCGGTTTTCCCCTCGAAATGCAAAATGTTGCTTCAAGATTGGGTTGCATCGGTAACTGAACTAGTGATAGGGAGTGAAGTAGTCGAACGTGTGGATCGCTTCACTTATCTTGGGAGTCTCATCAGTCCCAGTGGCCTAGTGACTGATAAAATCTCAGCACGGATACAGAAAGCTCGATTGGCTTTTGCCAACCTTAGTCACTTATGGCGTAGGCGAACTATCCGTTTGCTGACCAAAGGACGAGTGTAATGCGCAGTAATTCGCTCTGTCCTACTTTATGGCTATGAAACATGGTCACTCAGAGTAGACGACCTTCGTAGGTTAGCGGTTTTCGATCATAGGTGTCTCCAAAGCATTGCTCGAGTATCGTGGGACAACCGAGTAAGCAATGCTGCTGTTAGGAAACGGGTGCTAGGTAAGGATGGCAGACCAATAAATGAAGTAGTGAAACTTTATCAGTTGAGGTGGTTGGGACATATGTTACGTATGGCAAACCAGAACAAAACATGGCATAAATCCATGAAGTCACTAATGAGTGGACTTAGCCATGTCGGTAGGTGTCGACTACCTGATTGTGGTCCGCGAGATGATAGTAATCGATGGCTAGAGACCCTGAATGACATGGCTGAAAACTGTTTTCACTGGCGCAGGTGCACTTATTCTTTGTGTTCTCTCAAGTCCTAACCTTCTGAATTCCTCATCACCTCTATCTTTCTCTTTCTAAATTTACCTCACTGAATTATACTTCTTGAATAACATCTTCGAACCCTAATCTCTCCGATTACTTCTAATACTTTTACTACCTCTACTACTATGGGATTTGAATTGACAATGATATCTCTCTGCTGATAAGGTATGGTAACTTGAACTGCTGTACTTACGTGCAAAGTTCTACGTTGCTATTGATGATGATGATGATGATGATCTGTAGTTCTCACATTTGCTGGGATCTCCTTTCTGTGGTATCTTGATCAGGTGTTATTCTTTACAGTCTGTTGGTACATGTTCTTCACCCCAAATCTTTCTACAGAAGATGTGGAGCATTTTTGCAGTTACTGCTTTGTCTGTTTTTAGTGCCTCAGCTGGAATGTTTTCCGGACACGCTGCTTCATTGCCCTTGATTTGTTTAATGGCAGTGCTGGTCTCTTCGGTTGTTGGTGGGTCAACATCGGTTGATAGGTCTGTAGTTGCTGCTCCGATGTTGGGTGGGTTCAGTGAAGCTGACAGATTCAGGAGTTGTTCAAAAAGCTCTGCACACTTGTTTCGCTGTTCTTCAGTGTCGACGATTGCTTTGCCTTCGTTGTTCTTTACTGGTTGTTGTGGTTTACTAAATGGTCTGGCCAGCTTCTTCGTTGTATCGTACAGTTTCCTCATATTTCCTTCTCTTGAAGCTTCTTCCACTATCATTGCTAGATGTTCTACATATTTAAGTTTATCGGTTCTTATGCTCAGCTTCACTTACTTTGTTACTGCTGTATATTCGGTCTGTTCCCTGACTTTTTCTGCTCTTGTTCGGTTGTCAGTGATTGCTGGCTTCTTGTTCTCCCCTGCTTGAATCTTATCCAGAGTATGAACAGAGATCCCTCGATACATACTAGCGATGCTTCAAAGACACCTATCGTCAAAAGCCAGTACCCTATTAATATCCCCTATTCTTACTGGCCATGTTTCACATCCATAGAGTAGAACAGAGCGAACACATACTCAGTAGACTTGTATTTTGGTAGGTAAACGCAAATCTTGCCTACACCATTAGTTGTATAAATTTCCAAAAGCCAGTCGAGATCTCGTTTACTAAGTCAATAGGTGAATCTCCTAGTAGTAGATCAACCCCTGAAGAATTAGAGGATGAATTTGTCTTATCTAAAACCATTTCGATGATGAAGTTAAACAGGAATAGAGAGATTAGACAGCCCTGATGGAAACCACTTGAAGTAATGAATTGCGATAACAGTTCGCTATAAGCTCTCACTCGACCAAAGGTGTTCGAGTAGAAAGCCTGTTTAAGGTTGTTGTAGTTCTTTGGTTCACCTTTTAATGACAGACACTACCACAGAACCTCACGGTCAACTGAGTTGAATACTGCCTAAGGGTTGAGGAATATAACTATTGATGGACGTCGTAATGTATGTCTATGTTCTAGGACCTGACGTAGTGTGAATATCTGGTCTATACATCCATGTCCAGGTCAAAAACCAGTCTGGTTTTCTCTTCACGAGCTCTACTTAAAGTCAAAGTATTACTGAAGTCAATATTTTGGACAGTATATTAGTTAGACTCATCCCTCTGTGGTTGTCACAAGAGGACTTATATCCTTTCTGCTAATTTGGGACAATCAGGGATTGAGATCAGTCATATGGGATTGCGTCCAGTTCCCGAATTCTACCAAAGATCTCAGTCAATCTCACCGCTGAAACTGGATCACTAGCATAGTAAATCTCAGGGCTTGCTGCTCCCTCTCATCTTAGATTTCAGATAGCCTTTTCAACCTCGTTAGGAGTTGGAGAACTTACATGAATTCGTCATTTAGGTTGACTGGAGATCGCGGGTACCTGAAGTGTGGCTGAAGGTTAGTTGAAGTGCTCCTTTTAATGTTCTGCCGCTGATCCAATCTCATGGATTGAGAATGAATAATACGCTCATCGTTTTTGTAGATAGTGTATCGAACAGTCAGATTTCTAATACCGGTTCCTTCGATGGGTATCACTAGTTTTCTACTGATACCAATTTCCACTGCCTCTTTTTCATCTGTCTTGCTTTCTCTACCCACCACTGTTCGCGATCATTGCGTAGGCTTTCTTATAAGACTGCGCTTAAGCTGGCTGGGTTCTTTATGGTTTACCTTACTGGCAAATATCACTGCCGTTTCCACAGCTTTCCGAATATCATTTCAAGCTGCAAAAATATGCATCGAGCAGAGTCTCCGTATTTTTTTCAAGCACAACGAGAGGAATGTAAGAGGGCCTATGTTATTTTTTACTCGAGAATTCATCAGTAGATTAATTCAACATTTTATGGACCAACTAGATCATTTCTTAAGCATTTCGTGTTCACAGACATACTACTGATTTTTAATTTAGTAGGCTATTGAGTTTAACCAAATTACTTTGTTAACTGATGCTAGTTTCTCAATATATATTTACTTACATTGTTTTTTTCATTCTCAGGAGATAAAAGTTATGACTGTCCATGTACCATATAGTGCATGGAGTGAACAATGTAGAGCACTACTTGAAGTCCATTCCAAACTAGATGCTCTTTGTGTTTGTGATCATGGAAGTCGTGTACTAGGAAGTGCATTCAAAATTCCTGAATTTGCGGTAAGTTCTACTTAACTAAATGTATAGTATTTTTCTTCAAAATATCCTAATATTCATTTTTACACTCACCAAAAGTATTTTTTGAATCATGTTTTGTTGTTTCATGTTACAGCATTCAGTTTTATTCAATAGATGCCATCAACATTAATGTGAAACAAACACACCATGAGGTTGTGTAGTTAATTAAAGCAATCATAACGAAATTTAAGCGATCAAAACGGTTTCCGATGTTCACCTTGTTACTAACAACAAAAAAATGGAGAATTCCTAATTTGTATCCGAAGTGAATTGTTTGTTAATATATATAACTCGATTCAAAGCAACTGAGTGGTAAGGAATCATTCGTGCATCATTTGTCTGTTCTTGTCTCATCCAGTTCATCTAATATTCATTGTTTTATTCTGCTTGTAAATATTCAATAACCGGTTTCATTTCTAAACGTATATGTATATCAGATATTGATGTGTAATACTTTGAAGTATATAAGCAAAGTTGTATTATTTACCTTTTATTTATTTTCATGATTACACGCTTCCAAATCTTGTAACAATTACTCTCAAAGTTTGTGCTTTCCTCAAGTTTTTGTTTAACAACAAAAGTTTCCATATTTCATGCACTTTATCTGCGACTTATTGTGATGGTAATTACTGACTTAAGACACAGCTACCTGCTATTATTTAATCTATCAATGCAGACAGGTAGGTCCCCATGGAAAAGCCATACTGACTATCGTCAGTTGGGCTTGAAAGTAATGAATAGTAAATGTTAATTATGACTTGCTTACAGCATACAGAAGGATCTACAAAGATAGATTTTGAAAAACGGCTACATTTTGATGTGTTTTGTCTAAGATATTTGTTCCTCGATCGGAGTTATGGAGATCAGTGTTTTTACGCATTGAAATCATCTGTCATTCATTGTTAGACCACTATTACAAACCTGGAAGTACTGTACGGCCATTTCGTCTTGAAATGAAACTCATCAACAGTGCGCCTTCATGATTTTTGAAAGATATTTGAAAAAAGTGAAAAGCAATAAACATTTCCTATTAAAGTAAATAACACCATATCATATTTCTCTACTTATGATATGCTCGTCAACTGATATGCTTGGAGGCTATTACGAGTTCACCTTACTAAGTGAACGGAACGAACGTCAGTGACACAGTGACGCGATAAACTACTCTAATCCGGTTTTCCCAGGCCCCGCTATCTAGAGCAAGAAGTCTCGATAAGGTGTAGAGAATGTATTCTACAGGCACCCAGAGAGGCTGAGGTCACCAAGCACATAATTCAAGCTTATTTATACAATTGATAAAACGCCTTTGGTGAGAACCACAAAACGGCGTACTAAAATAATCCATCAACCAATAACAGTCAAGAATTTTCCGAGTGGCAGCTGTAAGCTGAAGATCAACTAAGCGTCTCTGGCGCGAAAACAATGAAATCCGAAATTTCAGAAAAAAATTTCGAAATTAGGACCTTTTCCAACAACTCAGATATAAGTGAAAATATAAATGATTTTGTTAGAAATTTTTAACTGACATTCTGTTAATATTTTAATCTTCATCATCAGCGTAAATTGAAAATGTTCAATGTTATCCTGCAAATTTGCTAACGTGTTTAATTTTGGTATTGTTACCTTTATTTTTATATATTAGAGTATTACTAATTTGAGTACAAATCAAGTTCGTGCTATACGTCTTGTTATGGCAAAAATTGGTTCACAAAAACCAAATATTGATTTTTTAAATGATCGTTTTGTGGTGGTTGATGCAAATAGTGAAATGTTATCAGCTAAATCTGGTAAAAAAAGTTTATTTGTTGAATTAACTAAAACATGTAAGTTGAAAATATGCCATAACTTGATCATTTTATACTCATTTCTATTTTATTGAAAATCACAATTTTTGATGACATGAATTTTACTGTATCACTTTAAAACAAAACTTCATGTATAACCAGCACTATTGTTACATAGATGTAGATAAAAACTACACCTTCAGTGATCTACTAAGGATTGTATTAATGTCAGTCAACTTATTCACTCATAATCATGATTTTACTAATTTTTAATTGTAAATGATTTCTAAAAGTTAACAGTATGCCAAAGATCATTTTATTTCATAGTTGTCATAACTGGTTAGTAATTTAGTTTTACTATGGGCTTTTTGTAAGTGCTGCTTATGCATGACAGAAACTCCGATAGCCTTATAAAGGAATCATATCAATCGGTCAAAGATAGAAACGGTTAGTCGACTGACTGGACTAGTGTAGTGAAGGAGCACACAGGTGAGGCAACCGAATTGTATTTTACGAAAATTACAGAGTTACTCAGTAAAATCGGAAAACCATATCGTAAATCGTTCATTTGCAAAATATCAGTTCATTATATCGAACCGGACTGTTCCTATTGCAAAACATCAATCCATTGTCACTATTCATGCGTTTCATACAAATTCCATTGTGTTCTAACTCTTCCTTTCTTGATCTTTCCCCATCTTCTGCTGCCAGACATTACGTTGACACTCATGTCATATACTACTTATAAGTAGCTCGCACCACACTAGTAGCCCTTATTAATAATGATGATACAAAAAATGTATAACACATACTTAGTTAATGCCTTTCTTTTGTTACATAAATCTAATTAAGAAATGTTAAGTAAAATCAAGGTTTACTACTGATTCATTAAATTACTGACCGTGATTGTGAGGCATAATGGTTGTAAACACTTCAGCAAGACAATTGCAATATTCGATGGGAGTTGGACTATCGTTTTGCGTACATGAAATGGGAAAAGTAACAGAATAAATTTCAAATGACCAACCACTAGTATTTACTTTTAAGCCAATAGGAGGTACTAAATAAATGACTAGTTTTTAAAACTAAGGTCAATTATAACACAGCAAGATTAAAAGCAGTCTATTTGTAAACTCCTAAATTTGTTTTAAATCTTTTGTCAAAAATGATTCTCAATTAAAATATCATCATCCTGAATTCCTTTGAGCATTGCTTGTTTTGAAAATATTTTTGAAGTGCAGAAAGAATATTCATTACCAAGCAAATGATAAACGATTCCACTGTTGGAAAGTTACTCTCCTTTTTGCCTCACTACTTTTTTGTGATGTCTTCAAATACAAAAACAGAATTTTGTTCGTCTAATGTATTTACGAAGGTACCAGTCTGTAAACTAATAAGTAGATGAAGAATCCGTTTAATGTCTTACTATGACAACCAATTTTTTTGTTTAGTAGAGGAAAAAAATAGATGTCAACATCTGGAGGGAAGCGGCACCCAATGGACTGCTAGGATGCAGCTGGACGATCTGAACTTCGCAGATGATCTGGCTCTTCTATCGCACACGCAACAACAAATGCAAGAGAAGACAACCAGTGCAGCAGCAGCCTTAACAGCATCAGGTCTGAACATACATATAGGGAAAAGTAAGATTCTCCGATACAACACAATAAGCACCAACCAAATGACTCTTGATGGATATGCCTTGGAGAACATTAACGTCTTTATATATCTGGGCAGCATTATCGACAGTCAAGGTGGATCCGACACAGATAGGAGGGCACGGATAGGCGAACCAAGGGCTAAATTTCTACAATTGAAACGTATCTGGAACTCCAAACAAATATCAACCAACACCAAAATCAGGAGTTTCATTACAAATGTCAAGACAGTCCTACTATATGCAGCGGAAACCTGGAGAGCTATGGAAGCCATCATTCAGAAGATACAAGTATTTATGAATAGTTATCTTCGCAAAATACCTCGGATTCGTTGACCAGACACCATCAGCAACTAACTATTGTGGGAGAGAACAAACCAGACTCCAGTGGAGGACGAGATCAGGAAGAGGCGGTGGAAGTGGATAGGACACACACTGTGGAAAGCTCCCAACTGCCACACAAGTCTAGACTTCACATGGAATCCTCGAGGTCAAAGGAAAAGAGGAAGGCCAAGTAACATATTACGCTAAGAAATATGGAAAAACATATGAGAAGAATTAACAAAACTTGAGAAAAACTGGAAACAGAAGCCTAGAACAGAGTAGGTTGGAGAATATTGGTCGGCGACCTATGTCCATTTAGGGTAACAGGCGTAAGTAAGGAAGTAAGAGGAAAAAAAATAACTTGTAAGCGATCTATGAAATTTGCCTTAATTACTATTTTTCTTTCTTTATAGTATGTGTATTCGGTTTGTCAATGGACACAGAGAGTGAAAATAAACATGCAGTTGCACATGAAGCAATGCGTGATATACAAAAGTACTATGAAGATGCAGAATTTTAGCTTATTAAACAATTTATTCATTCATAAAGAAAATAAGAGCAAAATACTCAATTGATAACTACATATCATCTTCCTCCTACTTCACTAATTATGAACACCTTTTTCCCGAATATGAATATTGTAAATAAGAATGATTCTCATATATTTGCTTTCACACTATGTATACATTTGGTTTTTGATTATTTCATCGGAAACGTTTGTACATAATATGAATAGAGCAAGATGATTTTCTTTTATTTGCTTGTATTTAAGCATATTTCTCTGATGTATGTTTAGTTTATCTAACCATAACATGTAAGCCAACACAAGGATATCTGGTCTATACAGTGACAATTAATGTTCGGGATAGTTTATTGTACAATCCTCAGATTTTTAGCCTTTTTAATTACTTGAAGATGTTAACATTTTTTAAAAATGTGCATGATTAGTTCCATTTTCCAACTACATTATTCTACTAATTGTTATAAAATACTCGACAGATAGAATGATTACTTTGAAGATTTATTTTGGACTGACATCAGTCAAAGAACCGTTGGATCAAATGGAACCATGTTACGAAGCTAGAATGGAAAACAACTATTAAGCGCTTTAAGATTTACTTGCATACGCGTGACTGGTCTGTATCTTCGTTCTATCCATCTTTTAGATAATAAGGTGAGGTATCAGTGCTTGCCTGCTCAGGGACTATCGTGGAAGCTTGATTTTAAACATGTCTAGGAGAATATCGAAAAGTATTATAGCTCGCGTCTCTTTGCTGCCGATTCAAGTTGCTTTCAGTTAATTAAAATGACAACCGACAACTCGACCACAGTTGCAACATTGATGTGTCGGTCATGCTTCCTTATCCCAATGACCCACATTAGAACATTTGTTCGTTTAAAACCTACCGTGCAAGAAAGATTGACTAAAAGCAATCTATTAAGGTCTAAGGGTGAAGCCGTACTGGTGCTATCTTCTCACAAAAGAAGAGGCGGTTTAAAAAAGGGGCAACATAATACTGTCACAATTAACCTTACCCCACGGAATTCCGTCTCTGGCGGTAAGGCACTTTTAAAAGCGGGGCGAACAAGTTAAAACCTCATAAAAAGGCTCGGAGCAGCAGATCACAATAAACTGTCCCTTAATCTGAAGAGGCACGAGCCAACATCATCTAGTCAACAATAACTCAGTTCAGTTTCGATATCCCTCAAGAAAAAGCACTCCGTAGTTTGGGCAACCAGAAAGTCTCCTGAAACAGCGCTTTAGACTGTGTTGGAGCTCTTAATGTTCGGACCCTGTGCCAAATGGGATAACAGACTTCCTTAGCTAGGACTTTAAAATCTCACATCATTGACGTATACTGAACCTCCGAAACGCACATATCTAGTCCGAGTACAGTACTTCATGTGATCTCACCTATTCAGTGTAAAGAACTTTCCGTGTATCTGGCGACCCCGTAGCTACGACGCGTAGCTTCTCTGGTGGTTTAGCAGTTAGTTAAAAATTAAAACAAGCTCCCTTAGACTGAATTATATTAGATAGTGACTCAAGGGCTGTCCGAATAAACGGGCAGCAACAATTCAGAAAATTAAGGACACTTGTTGTTGCCTCTTCGTTGCCTCTGCCTACGTTCCCGCTGATTGAAGCTCGGAAACCTTCACAAACTTCTTATATATAGTAATGGTGGACGGTGGTTTTGTTACTCAAGTGTGTGTGTCAGGCGAAACCGAACGACACCTATGTTGATCTTATGGAATCGCACTCCATCGTAAAGGTAACTGCGATCGTCCTCTGCAGCTATGCCCGGATAACCACCTAAGCCTGACAGCCTGTTTCTGGCAACAAACTTTAGGCATAAGAAAAACCATCTTCTGGCGAGGCGACCCTCAAAATCAACTCAATTCTGGACCCAACTAGACTGCATTGCTATGAGCCGTTGATAAAGAGAAACGGTAGAATACTTATGCCCGTTCTGGAGCACACGACTATACACAGACCATGCTATTGTACGAGCACGTATTTTCTCCGTCTTGCTGTACGTAAGAGAGACACAGCAAGGAAATCCCTTAGAGTTGTACGTGTGTAGATTTTGAGAGTAAGTGGTTAAACAGTTATACAACCACGTAAATGCTGTCCACTCAGAGGCAGCTTGTAATGATATCCAAAAAGCTTTGGAAACAGCCAGAGCAAATGAATATGGAATTTTAGTGTTTCTAATACATCGGCTACGTATGTGGACTTTGAATGACCTTAGACATCCATAATTTAACCATGCAATCTAAAAGGTAAGCGATAGACAAACACAAGAACATATGTAACTTCAGCCTTTGGTTGGTTTGCGTTTAGCCTGGAGACACATTTTATGTCAAGGGGTGTTTGAGGAGTAGCGTGTGAGATGATCTGCAAGAAGAAAAAACAAGAGAATAAGGTGAGCCGACGACTTAGTATGCATGCAGAATGCACTTACATGCAATAGAGAAATAAATAGACAGCAGCCAGAAATAAAACCGAAGTGAGGACAAGACAAACTGATAAAGGAAACCAGCAGTTGATAGAGTAAGGTTTCGAATGCGTTACTCATACAAAACACGAAAATTGTGCGCCAATCTAATCTGTAAATACATGAATAATGGAGGAAAACATTGAAGTTCAGAGTTAGTTGTGGTAATAGAAGTTTTATGAGGAGAAGGGGACTACAGAGTTTATCCATATAATGTCAGAATTATAAATATCTCCCTGAGGTATTCAAGGTTATGAGGGAGGTTGAATGAAATATAATGTGAGGTTAAAGTGATCATTTTTAGGAACCAAACGGTAAATAATTAGAACAAAGGGGAAATAATTGAGACTTTGTAGGCACAAACGAGATTTGGGGAATTTCACTAGTTTAACTGTTCCCTGTCAGTTGAAAGGTTTTCATTTGGAAGGGATATAACGTCTCATAATTAGAGCCATGATAAGAGCTAGCAAGCCAAGCCAAAAGGCTGAGAGGAAGCCGTAGATCACAGTGGCATCCCTCCTGTCTCTGTACATGATGAAGAGCGAAGTCATCTTAAGCGCAGCCCGATGAAAAGCCTACTCAATGATCGCTAACGGTGGTGGGTAACGAAGCAAGAGCGATGGAAAAAGCAGCGGTGATAGGCATCAGTAGACAACTGTTCAGACTGTCAAAGAAACCGGTATTAGAAATCCATCAGTTAGCGAAACTATATCAGAATAGGGTGGCTGTATCATTCATTCTAATTCCAGGAGTTTGGAACGATGGGCAGAACACTTCAGGGATCAGTTCAATTGGCCATCAACAACACATCGATTGCCCACAATTTCCAGTCATCCTGAATGGCGAATCGACGTAAGTTCTCCGAATCTTCATGAAGTTGGAAAAGCAATAGGAAATCTGAAGCGAAGGCGAGCTCATGAGCCTGACAGACTTACCCTTGAGATTTTTAAGGATCCTGGTTCAATTTTAGCAATCAAAGTGACTGAAATCTTAGTTAGAATCTGGGAACTGGACACAATCCCATCCAACTGGTCTGAATTCCTTATTGTACCATTTTATAAGAAAGGACAAAAGCCCTCGTGTGACAATCACAGGGGAATAAGCCTGACTAATATAGTTTCTAAATTGTTAGCCTCGATTATACTTAGGTGCCTAACTATTGCTCGTGAAGAGCAGGGTACAGAAAACCAGACTGTTTTTCGATCTGAATGTGGCTGTATAGACCACATCTTAACACTACGACAGGTCCTGGAACACAGGCGCATATTTAGGTGTCCGACAATATTTGTCTTCCTGGACTTTAAGGCGGCTTTTGACTCCGTTGATCTTGAGGTTCTGTGCCAGTGCCTGTAAATAGATTTTCTACTCTAACAGTTCACTCCATCTCCAATTGTGTAGGTTGCTACGCGATCACCCGCAGTCCAGGAACAAAAACACGATAATTCTGGGTGAAAACGGTTCTATGAATCGATAAAATGGAAATACAGACATTACCAAAACAATATTACACCTTCGAGTTCCAAATTACCGCGATAGGTATCCGTTTCTGGACGAATAAATGCTTCCAGTCCGTTACAGTTAAAGTATCAAATCAAATTTAAACAACATATGTACAGTTCAGAAGGAAACATAAAAACTTCAATATAAGTACAAAATATAGAAATAATAACAATATACAATGATAAAATCTCAAAATGGAATCAAATAGAGTACCAAAATATCAAACAGAAGAGTCAGTTATATTATAACACAAATATATATACATGGAGGGATTTTCCAAAAAACAAAACCTTCAAAATAGATTCTACAGTGCCTTTGATTAAAAGGTGTACCTGAGAAGTACATCGCTCAAGACATTGCGGATCTGAGCTAAACAATCAGCTGAGTGTATTCACGTCTGTATATCAGCTTCCTTGACAACGATAAATCACTCGAAAACGTGAACAGGATGGACCTATGGAGGCTTCTTTGGCACTATTGTGTACAGTCAACATAATACAGAATCCTTCTGATGTATTACAATAGATAATCACGCATGTAAGGCTGCTCACTGATTTGTTACAAGTGAAGACCAGGGCTAGACAAAGTCTCTTATCCCCACTCTTTCTCTTACTTCTGGAGGTTGGCTGTATTATTAAAACGTGATATCGACAGATGCCGATAAATTACAAGAACGTTGGAAAAACAGTCTTCAAATAGTCATGGAACAAATTCATACTGTGAGAGTTTCCTTGTTAAAAAATTGTGTGTAGACTCAACTGTGAAAGGACTTGTAAGGTTATCTATGTGAATAACTAGAGACAACTACTGTTATAAATGAGGACTTAATAGAGGAGACCTGAGACTACTCACGTCAGTTTTCATTAACTAAGTAAGAGAAATCAACGTTAGGTTACAATGATAGGTATACAGAAAAATACAGAGGAACACCTCCATATACTCTCGCTCTCTTATATCGGAATGATAACATAAAGAACATAACCTCACAATCTATTTAAACTGCACATATATTTCAGCGAGATATACTAAAGAGAAATCATTCGGTTTGTACAGTCAGTCTATGATCAGAGTGAAAAAAGATCTATCCATTGATATCTGTTCAGATTTATCACCATCAACTAATATCTTGCACCCTGCAGTGAGGTTTCTAGAATAGAAAAGTACTGAATAACCGACGAAAAATATGTTGATATCATTTGATGTTCATATAAGAGGTAATAAGGGGTTGATTTTATTGCTGTTTCACTTGCTTTTTCTAAACCTTAGAATGAATTTTAGAAAGTCAGTGTCTTATCTCCATATATTTAGTTTAACAAGCGGTGAAGGGTGTCCAATGTGAAGCAAGGATGAAGTCGCTGTTGTTTGGATCCTAGTTAAACCAAATATATGGAAATAAGACACTTACTTTCGAAAATTCAGTCTGAAGTTTAGAAAAAGCTAGTGAAACAGCAATAAAATCAACCGCTTATTACCTCTTATATGATCATCAAATGATATCAACATATTTTTCGTCGGTTATTCAGTACTTTTCTATTCTAGAAACCTCACTGTAGGGTGCAAGATATTAGTTGATGGTGATAAATCTGAACAGATATCAATGGATCGATCTTTTTCCACTTTGATCATAGACTGATTGTACGGACTGAATGATTTCCCACTAGCATATCTCGCTGAAATATATGGGCAGTTTATATAGATTGCGAGGTTATGTTCTTTATGTTATCATTCAGATATAAGAGAACGAGAGTATATAGAGGTGTTCCTCTGTATTTTTCTGTACACCTATCAATGTAACCTAACGTTGATTTCTCTTATTTTGTTAAAGACAACTTACGTGAGTGGTCTCAGGTCTCCTCTATTGAGTCCTCATTTATAACAGTAGCTGTCTCTAGTTATTCACATAGATAAACTAACATGTCCTTTCATAGTTGAGTCTACACATAATTTTTTAACAAGGAGACTCTCACAGGATGAATTTGTTCCAAGATTATTTGAAGACTGTTTTTCCAACGTTCTTGTGATCTACCGGCATCTTTCGATATCACGTTTTAATAATACAGCTAACCTCCAGAAGTAAGAGAAAAAGTGAGAATAGGAGACTTTGTCTAGCCCTCGTCTTCACTTGTAACAAATCAGTGAGCCGCCTTGCATGCATGATTTTCTATTGTAGTCCATCAGAAGGATTCTGTATTATGTTGACTGTACACAATAGTGCCAAAGAAGCCCCCATAGGTCCATCCTGTTCACGTTTGCGAGTGCTTTATCTTTGTCAAGGAGGCTAATGTGCAGACGTGAATACACTCTACTAATTGTTTAGCTCCGATCCTCAATGTCTTGAGCGATGTACTTCTCTGGTACACCTTTTAATCAAAGGCACAGCCACAGAACCTCACGATCAACGGAGTCAAAAGCCGCCTTAAAGTCCAGGAAGACAAATATTGTCGGACACCTAAATGTGCGTCTGTGTTCCAGGACCTGTCGTAGAGTGAAGATGTGGTCTATACAGCCACACCGAGGTCGAAAACCAGTCTAGTTTTCTGTACCCTGCTCTTCCCTAACACTAGATAGGTGCCTAAGTATAATCGAGGCTAACAATTTAGAAACTATGTTAGTTAGACTGACTCCTCTGTAATTGTCACATGAGGGCTTTTCTCCTTTCTTATAAAATGGTACAGTCAGGAGTTCAGACCAGTCGGATGGGATTGCGTCCAGTTCCCAGATTCTACCTAAGATTTCAATCACTTTGATTGCTAAAATTGGACCACGATCCTTAAAAATCTCAAGGGTAAGTCTGTCAGGCTCATAAGCTCGCCTTCGCTTCAGATTTCCTATGGCTTTTCCAACTTCATGAAGATTCGGAGAACTTACGTCGATTCGCCATTCAGGATGACTGGAAATTGTGGAAAATCGATGTGTTGTTGAAGGCTAATTGAACTGATCCCTGAAGTGTTCTGCCAATCGATCCAAACTCCTGGAATGAGAAATAATGATACAGCCACCCTATCCTGATATAGTTTCGCTAACTGATGGCTAATACCTGTTTCTTTGATAATCTGAACAGTTATCTACTGTTGCATATCACCGCTGCCTTTCCCATCGCTCTTGCTTTCGTTACCCACCACTGTTCGCGATCATTGCTTAGGCTTTTCATCAGGCTGCGCTTAAGATAACTTCGTTCTTCATCGTGTACAGAGACAGGAGGGATGGGATGCCACTGTGATCTACGGCTTCCTCTTAGCCTTTTGGTTCGGCTTACTAGCTCTTATCATGGCTCTCATTATGAGACGTTATATCCCTTCCAAATGAAGACCTTTCAACTGCCAGGGAGCAGTTAAACTAGTGAAATTCCCCAAATCTCTTTTCTTCCTACAAAATCTCGATAACTTCCCCTTTGTTCTAATTATTTACCGTTTAGTTCCCAAAACTGCTCAGTTTAACCTCACATTATATTTCATTCAACCTCTCTCATAACCTTGAATACCTCAGGAAGATATTAATAATTCTGACATTATACGAATAAACTTTGTAGTTCCCTTCTCCTCATAACACTTTTATTACCACAACTAACTCTTAACTTCAATATTTTCCTCCATGATCTATGTATTTATAGATTAAATTGGCGCATATTTCTCGTATTTTGTATGAGTAAAACATTTGAAACCTTACTCTATCAACTGCTGGTTTCCTTTATTAGTTTGTCTTGTCCTCACTCCGGTTTTATTTCTGGCTGCCGTCTATTTATTTCTCTATTGCATGTAGGTGCATTCTGCATGCATACTAAGTCGTCGGCTCACCTTATTCTCTTGTTTTTCTTCTTCCAGTTCATCTCACACGCTACTCCTCAAACACCCCCGGACATAATATGTGTCTCCGGGGTAAACGCAAACCAACCAAAGGCTGAAGTTACATATGTTCTTGTGTTTGTCTATCACTTACCTTTTAGATGGCATGGTTAAATTATAGATGTCTAAGGTCATTCAAAGTCCACATACGTAGCTGATGTATTAGAAACACTAAAATTCCATATTCATTTGCTCTGGCTGTTTCCAAAGCTTTTTGGATATCATTACAAGCTGCCTCTGAGTGGACAGCATTTACGTGGTTGTATAACTGTTTTACCACTTACTCTCAAAATCTACACACGGCCTTTTCGTTGTTAGGTACAACTCGAAGGGATTTCCTTGCTGTGTCTCTCTTACGTACAGCAAGACGGAGAAAATACGTGCTCGTACAATAGCATGGTCTGTGTATAGTCGTGTGCTCCAGAACGGGCATAAGTATTCTACCGTTTCTCTTTATCAACGGCTCATAGCAATGCAGTCTAGTTGGGTCCAGAATTGAGTTGATTTTGAGGGTCGCCTCGCCAGAAGATGGTTTTTCTTATGCCTAAAGTTTGTTGCCAGAAACAGGCTGTCAGGCTTAGGTGGTTATCCGGGCATAGCTGCAGAGGACGATCGCAGTTACCTTTACGATGGAGTGCGATTCCATAAGATCAACATAGGTGTCGTTCGGTTTCGCCTGACACACACACTTGAGTAACAAAACCACCGTCCACCATTACTATATATAAGAAGTTTGTGAAGGTTTCCGAGCTTCAATCAGCGGGAACGTAGGCAGAGGCAACGAAGAGGCAACAACAAGTGTCCTTAATTTTCTGAATTGTTGCTGCCCGTTTATTCGGACAGCCCTTGAGTCACTATCTAATATAATTCAGTCTAAGGGAGCTTGTTTTAATTTTTAACTAACTGCTAAACCACCAGAGAAGCTACGCGTCGTAGCTACGGGGTCGCCAGATACACGGAAAGTTCTTTACACTGAATAGGTGAGATCACATGAAGTACTGTACTCGGACTAGATATGTGCGTTTCGGAGGTTCAGTATACGTCAATGATGTGAGATTTTAAAGTCCTAGCTAAGGAAGTCTGTTATCCCATTTGGCACAGGGTCCGAACATTAAGAGCTCCAACACAGTCTAAAGCGCTGTTTCAGGAGACTTTCTGGTTGCCCAAACTACGGAGTGCTTTTTCTTGAGGGATATCGAAACTGAACTGAGTTATTGTTGACTAGATGATGTTGGCTCGTGCCTCTTCAGATTAAGGGACAGTTTATTGTGATCTGCTGCTCCGAGCCTTTTTATGAGGTTTTAACTTGTTCGCCCCGCTTTTAAAAGTGCCTTACCGCCAGAGACGGAATTCCGTTGGGTAAGGTTAATTGTGACAGTATTATGTTCCCCCATTTTTAAACCGCTTCTTCTGTTGTGAGAAGATAGCACCAGTATGACTTCACCCTTGGACCTTAATTGATTGCTTTTAGTCAATCTTCCTTGCACGGTAGGTTTTAAATGAACAAATGTTCTAGTGTGGGTCATTGGGATGAGGAAGCGCGACCGCCACATCAATGCTGTAGCTGTGGTCGGGATGTCGGTTATCATTTTAATTAACTGAAAGCAACTTGAATCGGCAGCAAAGAGACGCGAGCTATAATACTTTTCGATATTCTCCTAGACATGTTTGAAATCAAGCTTCCACGATAGTCCCTGAGCAGGCAAGCACTGATACCTCACCTTATTATCTAAACGATGGATAGAACGAAGATACAGACCAGTCACGCGTATGAAAGTAAATCGTAAAGCGCTTAATAACTGTTTTACATTCTAGCTTCGTAACAAGGTTCCATTTGATCCAACGGTTCTTTGAATGATGTCAGTCCAAAATAAATCTTCAAAGTGATCATTCTGTCAGTCGAGTATTTTATAACAATTAGTAGAATAATGTAGTTGGAAAAGGGAACTAATCATGCACATTTTTAAAATTTTTTTAACATTTTCAAGTAATTAAAAAGGCTAAAAATCTGAGGATTGTACAATAAACTATCCCGAACATTAATTGTCACTGCATAGACCAGATATCCTTGTGTTGGCTTACATGTTATGGTTAGATAAACTAAACATACATCAGAGAAATATGTTTAAATACAAGCAAACAAAAGAAAATCATTCTAGTCTATTCATATTATGTACAAACTTTTCCGGTGAAATAATCAAAAAAAAAATGTATACATAGTGTGTAAATAAATATATAACCATCATTCTTATTTACAATATTCGTATTTGGGAAAAAAGTGTCCATAATCATTGAAGTAAGAGGAAGATGATATGTAGTTATCAAGTGAGTTTTTTCTCGTATTTTCTTTATGAATGAATAAATTGTTTAATAAGCTAAAATTCTGCATCTTCATAGTACTTTTGAATGTCACGCATTGCTTCATGTGCAACTGCATGTTTATTTTCAGTCTCTGTGTCCATTGACAAACCAAATACACATACTATAAAGAAAGACAAACAGTAATTGAGGCAAATTTCATAGATCACTTACAAGTTAATTTTTTTCCTCTTACTTCCTTACTTACGTCTGTTACCGTAAATGGACATAGGTCGCCGACCAATATTCTCCAACCTACTCTGTTCTGGGCTTCCGTTTCCAGTTTTTCTCAAGTTTTGTCAATTTTTCTCACACGTTTTTCCATATTTCTCAGCGTAATATGTTACTTGGCCTTCCTCTTTTCCTTTGACCTCGAGGATTCCATGTGAAGTCTAGACTTGTGTGGCAGTTGGGAGCTTTCCACAGTGTGTGTCCTATCCACTTCCACCGCCTCTTCCTGATCTCGTCCTCCACTGGAGTCTGGTTTGTTCTCTCCCACAATAGTTAGTTGCTGATGGTGTCTGGTCAACGAATCCGAGGTATTTTGCGTAGATAACTATTCATAAATACTTGTATCTTCTGAATGATGGCTTCCATAGCTCTCCAGGTTTCCGCTGCATATAGTAGGACTGTCTTGACATTTGTAATGAAACTCCTGATTTTGGTGTTGGTTGATATTTGTTTGGAGTTCCAGATACGTTTCAATTGTAGAAATTTAGCCCTTGCTTTGCCAATCCGTGCCCTCCTATCTGTGTCGGATCCACCTTGACTGTCGATGATGCTGCCCAGATATATAAAGACATTAATGTCCTCCAAGGCATATCCATCAAGAGTCATTTGGTTGGTGCTTATTGTGTTGTATCGGAGAATCTTACTTTTCCCTTTATGTATGTTCAGACCTGATGCTGTTAAGGCTGCTGCTGCACTGGTTGTCTTCTCTTGCATTTGTTGTTGCGTGTGCGATAGAAAAACCAGGACATCTGCGAAGTCCAGATCGTTCAGCTGCATCCTAGCAGTCCATTGGGTGCCGCTTCCCTCCAGATGTTGACATCTATTTTTTTCCTCTACTAAACAAAAAAATTGGTTGTCATAGTAAGACATTAAACGGATTCTTTATCTACTTATTAGTTTACAGACTGGTACTTGAGTAAATACATTCGACGAACAAAATTCTGTTTTGTATTTGAAGACATCCCAAAAAAAAATAGTGAGGCAGAAAGGAGAGTAACTTTCCAACAGTGGAATCGCTTATCATTTGCTTGGTAATGAATATACTTTCTTCACTTCAAAAATATTTTCAAAACAAGCAATGCTCAAAGGAATTCAGGATGATGATATTTTAATTGAGAATCATTTTTGTCAAAAGATTTAAAACAAATTTAGGAGTTTACAAATAGATGGCTTTTAGTCTTGCTTTGTTATAATTGACCTTAGTTTTAAAAACTAGTCATTTATTTAGTACCTCCTATTGGCTTAAAAGTAAATACTAGTGGTTGGTCATTTGAAATTTATTCTGTTACTTTTCCCATTTCATGTACGCAAAACGATAGTCCAACTCCCATCGAATATTGCAATTGTCTTGCTGAAGTGTTTACAACCATTATGCCTCACAATCACGGTCAGTAATTTAATGAATCAGTAGTAAACCTTGATTTTACTTAACATTTCTTAATTAGATTTACTGTAAACAAAAGAAAGGCATTAACTAAGTATGTGTTTATACATTTTTTGTATCATCATTATTAATAAGGGCTACTAGTGTGGTTGCTAGCTACTTATAAGTAGCTACTATGACATGAGTGTCAACGTAATGTCTGGCAGCAGAAGATAAGATCATAGAAAGGAAGAGTTAGAACACAATGGCAATTTGATATGAAACGCATGAATAGTGACAATGGATTGATGTTTTGCAATAGAACAGTCGGTTCGATATAAGAACTGATATTTGCAAATGAACGATTTACGATATGGTTTTCCGATTTTACTGAGTAACTCTGTAATTTTCGTAAAATACAATTCGGTTGCCTCACCTGTGTGCTCCTTCACTACACTAGTCCAGTCAGTCGACTAACCGTTTCCATCTTTGACCGATTGACACGATTCCATTATTAGGCTATCGAAGGTTCCAAAATGCTTAAGCAGCACATACAAAAAGTCCATAGTAAAACTAAATTACTAACCAGTTATGAAGACTATGAAATAAAATAGCCTTTGAGTATACTGTTAACTTTTAGAAATCATTTACAATTAAAAATTTGTAAAATCATGATTATGAATGAATAAGTTGACATTATTGCAATCCTTAGTAGATCACTGAAGGTGTAGACATGAAGTTTCGTTTTAAACTGATACAGTAAAATTCATGTGATCAAAAATTATGATTTCCAATAAAAAAGAAATGAGTATAAAATGATCAAGTTATAGCATATTTTCAACTTACATGTTTTAGTTAATTCAACAAATAAACTTTTTTTACCAGATTTAGCTGATAACATTTCACTATTTGCATCAACTACCACAAAACGATCATTTAAAAAATCAATATTTGGTTTTTGTGAACCAATTTTTGCCATAACAAGACGTATAGCACGAACTTGATTTGTACTCAAATTAGTAATACTCTAATATATAAAAATAAAGGGAACATTACCAAAAGTAGACAGGTTAGTAGGTTTGCAGGATAACATTGAACATTTTGAATTTCCGCTGATGATGAATATTAAAATTTTAACAGAATGTAAGTTAAAACTTTTTGACAAAATCATTTACATTTTCACTTATATCTAATTTTTTGAGGACGTTAGATCCGCGGAACTCACTTGGTAAAGATCCTAATTTTGAAATTTTGTCCTGAAATTTTGAATATCGTTGTTTTCGCGCCGAAGACGCTTAGTTGACCTTCAGCTTACATTTCCCACTCGGAAAATTCTTGACTGTTATTGGTTGATGGATTATTTTAGTACGCCGTTTTGTTGCTCTCACCAAGGACGTTTTATCAATTGTATAAATAAGCTTGAGTTATGTGCTTAGTGACCTCAGCCTTTCTGGGTGCCTGTAGAATACATTCTCTACATCTTATCAATACTTCTTGATATAGATAGCGGGGCCTGGGACAGCCGGATTAGAGTAGTCTATCGCGTCACTGTATCACTGATATTCGTTCCGTTCACTGAGTAAGGTGAACTCGTAATAACCTCCAAGCATATCAGTTGACGAGCATATCATAAGTAGAAAAATATGATATGCTGTTATTTACTTTATTAAATAACGTTTGTTACTTTTCACTTTTTTTCAAATATCTTTCAAATATCATGAATGCGTACTGTTGATGAGTTCCACTTCAAGACGAAATGGCTGTCCATTGCTTCCAGGTTTCTAATAGTGGTCTAACAATGAATGACTGATGATTTCAATGCGTAAAAACACTGATCTCCATAACTCTAATTGAGGAACAAATATCTTAGACAAAACACATCAAAATGTAGCCGTTTCTTAAAATCTATCTTTGTAGATCCTTCTGTATGTTGTAAGCAAATCATAATTAACATTTACGATTCATTACTTTTAAGCCCAACTGACAATAGTCAGTATGGCTTATCCATGAGGACCTACCTGTCTGCATTGACAGATTAAATAATAGCGTGTAGTTGTGTCTTAAATCAGTAATGACCATCACAACTAGTCGCGGATAAAGTGCATGAAATATGGAAACTGTTGTTGTTAAACAAGAACTTGAAGAAAGCACAAACTTTGAGAGTAATTGTTACAAGATTTGAAAGCGTGTAATCGTGATAATAAATAAAAGGTAAATAATACAACTTTGCTTATATACTTCAAAGTATTACACATCAATATCTGATATACATATACGTTTAGAAATGAAACCGGTTATTGAATATTTACAAGCAGAATAAAACAATGAATATTAGATGAACTGAATGAGACAAGAACAGACAAATGATGTACGAATGATTCCTTACCACTCAGTTGCTTTGAATCGAGTTATATATATTAACAAACAATTTACTTCGGATACAAATTAGGAATTCTCCATTGTGTTATTGTCAGTGACAAGGAGAACATTGAGAACCCTTGTGATAGTTTAAATTTCGTTATTATTGCTTTAAATAACTACACAAACTCATTGTGTATTGGATTTCACATCAATGTTGATGGCATCTACTGAATAAAACTGAATGTTGTGACATGAAACAACAAAACAGGATTAAAACAGTACTTTTGGTGAGTGTAAAAATGAATATTAGGATATTTTGAAGAAAAATACTATACATTTAGTTAAGTAGAACTTACAGCAAATTCAGGAATTTTGAATGCACTTCCTAGTACACGACTTCCGTGATCACAAACACAAAGAGCATCTAGTTTGGAATGGACTTCAAGTAGTGCTCTACATTGTTCACTCCATGCACTATATGGTACATGGACAGTCATAACTTTTATCTCCTGAGAATGAAAAAAACAAAGTAAGTTATTGTGTATTGAGAAACTAGCATCAGTTAACAAAGTAATTAGGTTTAACTCAATAGCCTACTAAATTAACTGTCAGTAGTATATCTAAGGGGACAAAATGTTTAAGAAATTTGTTGGTTAGCGCTAAAAAATTTTGAGTTAATCTACTGATGAATTTCTGAGTAAGGAATACCTTAAACCCGTTTACTTTCCTCTCGTTGTAATGAGGAAAGTACGGAGACTCTACTCAATGAATATTTGTGCACCTTGAAATGATGTTCGGAAAGTTGTGGAAACAACAGTGATATCTTCTAGTTAGGTAACCCATGAAGAGTGCAGCCAGCTTAAGCACAGTCTGATAGGAAGCCTACGCAATGATCGCGAACAATGATGGGTAGCGAAAGCAAGCCAGATGGAAATGAGGCAGTGGTAGTAGGTAACAGTAGACAACTATTCATAGTTACTAAAGAAACAGGTATTAGAAATCTGACTACTAGCAACACTATCTATAAAAAAGATGGGTATACTATTCATTCTCAATCCATAAGATTGGATCAATGGGCAGAACATTTAAGGAGATAGTTCAAACCACTTTCAGCCACACTTCGGTTACTCATGATCTCCAGTCAACCTGAATGGCGAAATGATGTAAGTCCTCCTACTCATAACGAGGTTGAAATGGTTATCTGAAATCTGAAATGAGAGGGAGCAGCAAGCCCTGAGATTTACTATGCTAGTGATCCAGTTTCAGCGGTGAGATTGACTGAGATCTTTGGTAGAATTCGGGAACTGGACGCAATCCCATATGACTGATCTCAATCCCTGATTGTCCCAAATTAGCAGAAAGGATATAAGTCCTCTTGTGACAACCACAGAGGGATGAGTCTAACTAATATACTGTCCAAAATATTGACTTCAGTAATACTTTGACTTTAAGTAGAGCTCGTGAAGAGAAAACCAGACTGGTTTTTGACCTGGACATGGATGTATAGACCAGATATTCACACTACGTCAGGTCCTAGAACATAGACATACATTACGACGTCCATCAATAGTTATATTCCTCAACCCTTAGGCAGTATTCAACTCAGTTGACCGTGAGGTTCTGTGGTAGTGTCTGTCATTAAAAGGTGAACCAAAGAACTACAACAACCTTAAACAGGCTTTCTACTCGAACACCTTTGGTCGAGTGAGAGCTTATAGCGAACTGTTATCGCAATTCATTACTTCAAGTGGTTTCCATCAGGGCTGTCTAATCTCTCTATTCCTGTTTAACTTCATCATCGAAATGGTTTTAGATAAGACAAATTCATCCTCTAATTCTTCAGGGGTTGATCTACTACTAGGAGATTCACCTATTGACTTAGTAAACGAGATCTCGACTGGCTTTTGGAAATTTATACAACTAATGGTGTAGGCAAGATTTGCGTTTACCTACCAAAATACAAGTCTACTGAGTATGTGTTCGCTCTGTTCTACTCTATGGATGTGAAACATGGCCAGTAAGAATAGATGATATTATTATGGTACTGCTTTTCGACCATAGGAGTCTTTGAAGCATCGATAACTTGCATCGAGGGATCTCTGTTCATTCTCCGGATAAGATTCAAGCAAGGAAGAACAGAAATGCAGAAATTAGTGACAACCGAACAAGAGCAGAAAACGCCAGGGCACAATCTGAATATACAGAAGTAGAGTGGAGCATAAAAACCGATAAACGCAAATATGTGGAAGATCTAGCAATGATAGTGGAAGAAGCTTCAAGAGAAGGAAATATGAGGAAACTGTACGATACAACGAAGAAGCTGGCCAGACCATTTAGTAAACCACAACAACCAGTAAAGAACAACGAAGGCAAAGCAATCGTCGACACTGAAGAACAGCGAAACAAGTGTGCAGAGCTTTTTGAACAACTCCTGAATCTGTCAGCTTCACTGAACCCACCCAACATCGGAGCAGCAACTACAGACCTATCAACCGATGTTGACCCACCAACAATTGAAGAGATCAGCATCGCCATCTGACAAAGCAAGAGCGACGAAGCAGTGTTTCCGAACAGCATTTCAGCTGAGGCACTGAAAACAGACATAGCAGTAACTGCAAAAATGCTCCACATCTTCTGTAGAAAGATTTGGGGTGAAGAACATGTACCAACAGACTGTAAAGAATAACACCTGATCAAGATACCACAGAAAGGAGATCCCAGCAAATGTGAGAACTACAGATCATCATCATCATCATCGTCAACAGCAACGTAGAACTTTGCACGTAAGTACATCAGTTCAAGTTGCCATATCACGTTAGCACAGAGATATAATTGTCAATTCAAATCACATAGTAGTAGAGGTAGTAAAAGTATTAGAAGTAATCGGAGAGATTAGGGTTCGAAGATGTTATTCAAGAAGTATAATTCAGTGAGGTAAATTTAGAAAGAGAAAGATAGAGGTGATGAGGAATTCAGAAGGTTAGGACTTGAGAGAACACAAAGAGTAAATGCACCTGCGCTATTGCAAACGGTTTTGAGCCATGTCATTATTCAGGGTCTCTAACCATCGATTACTATCATCTCGCGAACCACAATCAGGTAGTCGACACCTACCGACATGGCTAAGTCCACTCATTAGTGACTTCATGGATTTATGCCATGTTTTGTTCTGGTTTGCCATACGTAACACATATCTCAACCACGTCAACTGATGAAGTTTCAATATTTCATCTATCGCCTTGCCATCCTTACCTAGCACCCGCTTCCTAATAGCTGCATTGCTCACTCGGTTGTCCCACGATACTCAAGCAATGTTTTGGAGACACCTATGATCGAAAACCGCAAACCTACGAATATCTTCTACTCTCACTTGCCATGTTTCATAGCCATAAAGTAGGACAGAGCGAACTACTGCGCAATACACTAGTACTTTAGTCAGCAAACGGATATCTCTCCTGCGCCATAAGTGACGCGGTTTGGGAAAAGCCAATCGAGCCTTCTGTATCCGTGCTGAGATTTTATCAGTCACTAGGCCACTGGAACTGATGAGACTCCCAAGATAAGTGAAGCGATCCACACGTTCGACTACTTCACTCCCTATCACTAGTTCAGTTACCGATGCAACCCAATCTTGAAGCAACATTTTGCATTTCGAGGGGAAAACCGCATACCGAACATGCTTGCATTGTTGCTTAGGGTAGTCAGAAGACTCTGCATCTTGTCAGCATCTTCACCAAGTAGGACTATATCATCGGTATATTCTAAGTCGACCAGCGAGCCTCCTGGTAAAAGGTCTACTGAAAATTCAGACGAAGGTAATGTTATATCTAGCAGCATGTCTATGATAAAATTAAACAAGAATGGGGAGAGTGGTCTTCCCTGACGGACACCACTTGAAGTAGAGAATCCTGGTGACAGTTCGCCATAAGCTCTCACTCGACCAGTGGTGTTAGAATAGAGAGCTTGTATAAGGTTAGTGTTCTTCTTTTGTACACCTTTTAATGAGAGGCACTACCACAGAACCTCTCGACGCACAGAGTCAAATGCCGCTTTAATTTTTACGAAGAGAATTAGTGTCGGATGCCGAAATGTGTATATGTGTGACAGGATCTGTCGTATTGTGAAAATGTGGTCTATACAGCCACGTCCAGGTCTGAAACGAGCCAGTCTGAAACCACTCTAATCTCAACACGAAAAATATTCTCCAACAGAGTATTTTTGAACCAAATGAAAGATTATGTGGTAACCCAACTTCAAGATTAGCAGGTTGGATTCCGTGAGGATCGATCATGTATCGACCAAATCGCAACATTACGGATCACTGTGGAACAGCCAGTTGAAT